CAGTACATTGTGCACTTTTCGATAAAGAGCCGGAAAAGTATAGGTCTGCAGTAATAGGCTTTTTACGTCAAAATTTACCAAATTGCTTCTGAAGACTTGTACTGGAATACATAACAAGCTTTGCTTATGATGCCATTCGAAGAGTCGTGAAATCCGGACATTAGATTTTAATAATATTGATAATTAAGAATGATCTTTAGAGACTTTGTTTTATTCGGCTGTTCATTTCCTATTTCACTAAAATAGAAGCGGGAAGCATTCTTCGCCATTAAGATTATTTCAAACCACAAAAGGACTGATTTACGTTTTATTAGTTTGTATAAGAACGAAGGTGTACAGAAACTTTTGTTAGTGTAAAGAATAAACAAGAAATGTTTTCATTTCTTCCAAAATAGCCTCGAAGGCCTCAATTTAGATTTTCATTTTGGCTGTAGAGGAGGTCAAGCAAATTTGTTGATATTATGAACAACATGTTTTCTCGTCTACACTTTTGGTTTGTTTTTGTGTTCTTACTCTTATCAAGTCAGAAAAACGGCGTCGATACTTCAGGGGCTGTTCAAAGTGAGTTTGGGTCGTTTCAGTATATAGGAGTTACTGAAGAGTCACCAGCCTTACCTCCCACAAACGGTATTTTTTTTGTTCTATTAAAAGATTTGTTGTTAACTTTTGAGTACAGATAAGCTAGTATCGGGAAACCCCATTAACAGTCAGAACAACCAACAACCTTCAAGTTGTCACGGTTGTCGATCTCTTACGGAAATTATGGACCCAACCTGCTTTGACATTACGTTGACAGATCTAGACAGCAAACCAGTAGGATTTTCTTCGTTAGTATGAATATGAGCTAAACATCAATCTTGAGGCATGGAATATCACTTTTCAAGTGAAGCAACATACTATCTTGAACAGGGTTGTACCAGACTCTTGTTTGGACAGCCACGAGTGTACGGTTTGCTTGAATGCTACGGAATTGTATGATATGATGAACGCTATACCGGAGATCCAACCGTTTGCTAGCACTGTTTTTCCTCCCAACGGTAACTTCGAACCTTATGGGCTTTGAAGCCTGGAACTGAAATTTTATCTAGGTGCGAAACCACAACCAGGGGATCCTGCTCCTCCTCCCTCAGTGTACTCCATGTGTCTAGTTATGTCGAGCAGATTTGGAATGCGAGAGGCACGGAGCGCTATTCTGAAACCTCGCATTATGTGTTTTCCTGGTTGTATTTATGGCCAAGAAGCACCACTGGGAGACATGCTTTTGAAACCTGAAGTTGGCTGCAAGTTGTTTGATGAATAGTTATGGTCCAAACTGAAGAGTTGTATTTTTTTGATGTGTTTTCACTCTTGTCGTAAAACTTTACTCACTTAATCGTCTTTGTCCAAAGCTAGAGTTTTCTTCATATAAAGGTGGGATGGTACAGTCGCATACGTCAAACTAATAGATTTGTATCTATACATGATTATGATTCCAATATCGCATATTATATTTGCGGTTAGGTCCCAAAATTCAACTGTCATATGAAAACAGAATTTCATCTCGTTACGGTACATATCACTCGGTAGTACAAGTTAATCGGTATCACAATGCAACCAAAAATTCCAAGCAGGAACAAGCAGCTTCAGCAAAATAATCAAAAATGATGAGAACTAAAAGGCTAGGTAGCGTCAGTATTGCTGAACTAATTGGGGTGAAATGGATGTGTCTGTGAAAAGCAATGTAAACTGTAGCTTTCTGGACAGCTTTGAGCGAGTCTCCGAAGAAGTTGTACTGTTTGTGAGTTAACTGTTGAAAAGATTCGGCTTGAGCGATATCATTTGGAATTGTTGGTTTGCGTGGGAATGGATTACAGAGTGCGACTCCTTTACAAACGGTTTCTTCTGGTCGGTCGACAGTATCCTGAGCCTTTTGGTATAGTAAGAGAGAAAATAAAACGAGGTTTCCAGGCAAACTCAACTAATTGCGATAAGCCGTCGATTGAGAGAGCTCTGGAACACGGAGAGTTCGTCCTGAAGGAAGCGCAAGCGCTAGTAAGTTTACATAAATACCGAACACTGAACAAGCGCTACGGAAGAAATTCAGATGAGTTTTGAAACAAAATTTCCTTTGAAGTGGTTGTGAACCCGCAGTTTATTACTGAATGTTTTTCTCACAGAAGACAGAACTAGACCCAGGTTTTCCCACTTCCCCGTTTTGTACAACTTGTTTTTGTTGACTTTAGGAACACAAAGTCTTCGGCAGTTAGGTTGACTGCTGCAAAGTCGAAGTCTTTTACCATATTTTTGTTCTTATCTGTTAGAACTACTTGAAGAATCAAAGTCTCTTGCTTGATAGTAGCTTTTGCTGTTCCAACTCCCAAGTGTAAAGTAAAGACTAGAGGAGCTTTTTGACGAGTTAGTTTGATTAAACAACGTTCCACTTTGAATATTTTCTGTATTTTTATGTATCCTTTAGATAACTAAAAGACTGCCTGCTTTCGATTGTTTTTTATGCGAAACTCATGCGTTTCTAGGGCTAAGGTCGGATAGCGCGAAAAACCCCACAGGACATAACTGATAGTACCTGTTGGGAAGTCCAATTCAGGACAATTCTTTGGAAGCACTATTTTGGATCAACACAATCCTCAGCTATACGTTGGCATCTCTTGTCTAAGCTTCCAGTCTTTGAGTTTTATTTCTACGCCGAATGTCACAATCATCGCATCGGCGGCATAAACTAGCCTGGCCATCTTTGCTCGTCGTTCATTCCACGGATTAGCTTCTAGAATTTGAATGAGTGGTGACTGGAGTTGGAAGCATGTTCGACAACTTCCTTATACCGTGGAGCAGTTTCTTATTCAAAAATGAAGAGCCAGAAAACAAAGTTCAGGAATTGGAGTCTATAGAACCTGATGCTGGGGGAAGGGCTGTTGAGTCGAAGCTCAAAGTGAATGAATCGCTAAACTCCGTGTTCAGTTATTCACACGGCTTACCTCCAAAACCCTATTCAAACCGCAGTTTTCCCAATGCTTTGAGACGGAAAAGAGGTTCACTTTCAAGCAGTAACAAGGGTGATCTTGACAATATTTTGGCTTCAGGTCACTCAGCATGTGACGCAGTTGTTCCAGGTTCCCAAATTTCTCCCTTGGACGGCAGCGAAGGTTCTGGAGATCTACGAGGCCTCTCCTCCAACTTCCAAGACTTCAATATTTTAGCAAAAGAGGGTTCTCAAATCAATTTGACTTGTCAAGGTCGAGCTTCCGAACGTGAACAGGATCAGCAGGTCGTTTCGAAATACCAACCTTGTCTGCTTCCTTGTGCAAAAGAGTTGGGTCCGGGTGGGATTCCACAGTCCGTAAGAAAGATTGTTTTTCAAATGGTCAGATGCACTGTTGCCCGAGTCATTCGAAGGGTAACCGGCTTGTCACTCTCAACCGTGGAGAAATGGTTCTCATTATTGAGCCATTTCTTGGAGTTATCAGCAGAAGAGCAATTAATGTTTCTCATCTTTTTACGAAAGTATCTTAAACATAATGGGCCATTGCGTGAAGGTCAAGACAGTTTGAGACCGCAAAAGTGGGAGCGTGTTTTAGCTCTGTGTGCGTATTTCTCTGTTTGGCTGTCAGAAGAGTTTGCAGCACGTACAAGAGAAGATTTGGTCACCTTGATGGGCCCAAGGTTTCATTTTGGGAAAGAGCAAAAGGAATTCCTCATTGCTGTAGATTGGAGAATATATATTGGATATGACGAGTACTGTCATACTTTAGAAATGTTTCTGATTCCTGATGAGATGCAACGTGGTGTCATTATTTGGGAATGGTTGGGATATTCCACTTTGGAACTAACTGAAAGTCTCGATGTGCGCAGAGAAGTAATACTGAGCAACTTAACTCGACATTCAACCGTTTTGAGTGCCGGAAGAAAAAGGCAGCCAATGTTCCTGCCAGATGAAAAAGAGACCACAGAAGAGGGAAGACGATTCTTCCGCAAGATGGCATTGGGTGCCTTTCTTAGCTCTCAAGGACATGATGTGAATGCTGAGACGAATCCATATCTTTGTGTACCCAATGGTTAGCTAGTTAGCTTTAAATAAAGTGTATATAATGAAATATGTAGAAAATCAAAGTTCCACTGTATAGTACGCAAACTTTACTTAAACGTCATCTAACGATAGGCATGTGAACTATAACCCGAATCAGGTTGTCCAAGTCCCATACGACCGGGAGCAACACCTTCGGCAGCTGCCCAGTCCAAGTCTCGAGGCGCAACTGAGGCTTCCCAGTTTCCTTCGGCAGCCCAACTACCAACCGCCTCTCCTGCACCAAAATCCACTAAGCCAGCGGCAGGTATAGCTTCTCCAGAGTACGAACTATACGGTGGTATTTCTTCGTACGCTGTACGAGAAAATTCTGCTGCAACAGAATCTCCTGCAAGGGCCGCAACTTCCTCAGCTTTAATAACCTCCTCAGGATCACGATAAAAGAATAGGTCCACCATCACATCCCAAGGCTCTGTCCTCGAAATAACACCTCTTAGTCTCAAAACTTCCCTTGTATGGGTAACGGCGAGTTGTGAACGGCCAAGACATGCCCCATGGTATTAGGA